CTGGAGCTGCTCCGGTATCAATCTACAAATATCACTAGGCACCAACAGGAAAAGGAACAAGCACAACATCCGTATTTTCAAAATAACTCACCAAACGCTGACTAATTTTGTCAAAATCCCAGCTATATTAATAAATATATGGATATATTTCTACACAAATGCTGTCAGAATGTATGGTTCTGCTTGGGAACCAGATGGCAACATGTAGCATGAAGCCTCAGTTTAGCCTGTTAGCCTTTGTGCTAACGTCGATGCTATATTACCTTATTTAGCTCGACAAACAAGCTAAAATGAGGTCCTCCATCCATATTTTCAGTTCCAGGCTGAGTCATTTTTGAGTTCCCCTCTCTGTCATGTGGATGGAGGACCTCAGCTCTGAGCTAATACATATGTGGTGATAGCGTAGGGGCTAATGCTAAAGCTAACAGGCTGAGGTTCTTCTTCCATGAAGCAGCTCTGTTGTACTCCATCCATGTTTTCAGTGGCTCCATCCGTGTACTATATTTTTAAACTTTTAGTTTAAAAATGATAAAAACTGAACATCCTACAGTATTTTTAGTTAAAATATATGTTTATGAAATAAAGTCTAATGTTACAACTAATCATGGATGCCTTTAAATGACAAAGTAATTAGTAGTTTCCTGTATAGATCTGTTTGGAGACTGAATCTTGTTTCATTACCCGTGTGCAGCAGTGGTGCGGTCAGCACGCAGAACATCGAACATGTAGAGCTCCTTCAGGAGACGAACGCTGTCCTCTGCTGCTGCTGTGGGACTGGGAGCCTGAGGAGGAACAACTCGTCACTTCCTGTCTTTAACAGCCTCAACTCATTTAAAACAAGTCAAAGTATCAGTACACAGTGAGTACACAGCTTACACAGTATGAGAGCAGTGGTTTCTGACTCATTCTAACTGTAGGTTCAAGTTTTTATTATCTGGTTTCAACATGACTCCAGAACTATTCAATAAAATATTTATATACATCTTAAAATAAGGATGTGTTCTTTTATTCTAAATGTTAACACTGAGCAGCACATTTATCTCTAGAATCCTTGTTAGTCTTAAGATTTCATTGTCCCCCGCTCAGATTCAAGACCCCCTGTGCCAGATGCAGCAAAGCAGCTCCAGACCATAGCAGACCTCCTCCATGTTTCACAGTAGAGACAGTGTTATTTTCTTCATATGCTTCAGTTTTCCCTRTGTCAACACGGAGCTGATGTGTCTTGTCAAAAAGTTCCATTTTTGTCTCCTCTGTCCAGAGGACATCGTCCCAGAAACTTTGTGACTTGTCAACATGTAGTTTGGCAAATTCCAGTCTGGCTTTTTTAGGATTTGGTGTCCTCCTTGGTCGTCTTTCATTTAGTTCACTTTGACTCAAACAACGATGGATGGTTGATCTGACAKTGATGTTCCTTGAGCCTGAAGTTCACCTTTAATTTGTTTGGAAGTTTTTTGTAGCTCTTTTGTTACCATTCATATTATCTATTTGAATATGTGTAACTGTAGTCACATGAACATCAAGCTGCTTGGAGWTGGTCTTATAACCTTTAKCTTTAACARGCTTGTCTGTAATTTTCTTTCTAACCTCCTGAGWCAACTCRTTCCTTCACTTCCTCTGGTCCATGTTGAGTGTGGTCCACAGCATGTCATCAAACAGCACAGTGAGCATCTGTAGGCCTACATACAGGCCCACTGACTGATTACAGGGTTGTAGACACCTGTGATGATAATTAGTGGACACACCTTGACTTAACATGTCCCTTTGTTCACYTTATTTTCAGAGTWCAATCATTTCTGTCCAGATCTGTTTCATGAGTTTGTTTTTTTGATTCAGTTAAAGCATSGTTGAAAAGCAGTGTCTGACTTTCATTTGTTCATTTTCATAGAARMTTATTGTGTGAATGCCTCATAGCATGAGATCATTTTTTCTTCCGTACGTTTTTCGGCATCTAACTCGTTCCACAATTTTTGTGCTATTTCAACAATTTATATATTAAAACATTCAGCTCATTTATGCCAAGGGTGCTATGAGTCTGTATTTCAGCGATTTATACTTTTTCAGCTACTTCACCTTTTTAGCCACTTTTTTGCCATTGAAAATGAATAAAGTTATTTTCAACATCCTTAAAATCTTTTTTAAAGTTTTTAAAGGGATCCCCGATTAGTTGTAACATTAGACTTTATTTAATAAACATATTTTAACTGTAAAATAAAGACTGTAAAAATACTGTAGACTGTTAAATTATATTTTTAAAAATTATAAAAACTTAACACGGATGGGGCCATTTTATTTCCACACAAAGCATTCTGGGTAAATGATGACGTGGATAGGTTCTCGGTGCGAGGCTGCTAGCGAGCTATATCCACCCTGAAGG